CTTTGCGTACCTGCTAGCCCCAGCGTCTCTCTCCTCTAACCTGTCTTGACATCCTTCTAAGTTCCCTTTCAGCCTCATGCCCTCCCACAAAACTTTGCTTAGACATCCAAAGAGCACTCAACTTTACTCCTTCTTACATGGAAATGTCCCACTGATCTCACTAAAACGGGATTCTGCTATGTGTTTGAGACTTATTTAACAACCTCTATGGCATACAACCCCCCGTTTCATGCTGAGTCGAGACCAATAGGTACACATGCCCAATTGTTTGATGGCAAAACTTCCAGAGTTTCCATCTGGTTATTTTCTGTCTCGTATACTTTATTCACCTGTTAATTATCATGTGATTGCTATTTAAATTATTTACAAAAAGCATGTTTACCATAGGCTCTTTGGCATGCACATAAGACAGAAATTGCTAGTTCAGATTCAAATAATCAATTTCAAAGTCCTTCAGAGAAAAGCAATGTCAAGACTGTCTGCAGACACATGGGAAATCCAGCCTGGACCTCTTCTCCACCCTCTCTTCCTTCCCAGGCCTGTCTGAGTCTGGGCCTTCCATCATGCAGCGTGCCTTCTCATTGCTCAGCAGGACTGCCACAGTTAGATCTCACCACACACAGGAACGTCATAAAACACTTCCTGCTGTGTCTGGTCAAGATTCGGGCACTTCTGAGGAAATCAGAGTCACCCAGAGAGCCAGACCACATCCCTAGGGTTTCTGACTCAGTGCTCTAGAGTAGGATCTGGGAATCTGCATCCTTCACAAGTTCCTCGTTACTGATGCTAAAGATCCAGGTGAGAAGCTCGATTGTTTATTCTCAACTTGATATGTCTACCAGGCTTTGACCCCTACTTTCTTCCAACCATTAAGATCCCCATTAACCTCCCTGTTGGGGTTACTCTTCATGCATAGTGTGACTGTCTTAATTACCCCTCCCGCATGTCCCATCTTATTTCCTTCTTAGAGGCTGAGGACCAAGAGGCTTTTATCCCAGTTTATTACTTTTTTAAAACTAATTTCTAGTGTTCCTTTCAAATACTTTATTCTTTTCTTCTTATTCAAATATCTTTAATTCTTTGTTACCCCTAAACATGTGCATAGGCAGGAAAACCCAAGCAAACCTCCGCTTAATACTGAACTTCTCTGTGCTCATAATCCAATCCCTTGCTACTCTTTCTATTCAAACTTCAAGACTGATTAGGGCCCCTCCCTGTCTCCATTCCTCTCAACATCCACATTTGACTTCTAGGCACCCCCACATTTTCAGTCTCTCTTGCTAAGGACCACATCAACCACTGAACTGGAAACACTGGTATCCTCATCTTCATTCTACCACGTCAGATAGTTTTCTTTCTTTCCTGTAAGGTCTCCCCCTAAGCTCTTGATGGGCACTGGTTCTTCTCCTATTGATCTTCCTTCATCTTCTTTGTAAAGAAGTAGTCTTCTCTCCCTCTCTCCCTCTCTCAATATTTCTTCAAATGTGAATACAACCTGGCTTCTGTCATTCATCTTCTGGTCTAGAAGCCCTGACCCTGTGTGTCAGGATACAACCTGGCTTCTGTCATTCATCTTCTGGTCTAGAAGCCCTGCCCTGTGTGTCAGGATACAACCTGGCTTCTGTCATTCATCTTCTGGTCTAGAAGCCCTGCCCTGTGTGTCAGGATACAACCTGGCTTCTGTCATTCATCTTCTGACCTAGAAGCCCCACCCTATGTGTCAGGATACAGCTTGGCTTCTGTCATTCATCTTCTGGTCCAGAACCTTCACCCTGTGTGTCAGGATACAGCCTGGCTTCTGTCATTCATCTTCCAGTCCAGAACCCCTGCCCTGTGTGTCAGGATATAGTGATATACAATAGAGTTTTATTCCTTCATAAAGAAAGATGAGATCACGCTATTGCAGCAAAATGTATACAAACGGAGAACATAATGTTAAGGAAATCAAGTCAGGCTCAGAAGGACAAATGTATGTTTCTCTCATTTGTGGATCCTAGATAATTATATAATGCAAAATGTCTTTATGAAACTTGTTAATATGTATAATGAATACATGTCAATAATTATATCACACACACACACACACACACACACACACACACACACACACACCATCAGTGTCATAGGGATTTCAATATAATTGTCTCAGCACTTTAGACTATCCTGACCTGTTTATCCCAGTAGGCCAGATGCAGATTGTAACTTCGTCATCTTGTGATCTCATCAAACATTCCCCCTAGGGATTACTTCCTCTTTCCTCATTTGTCATCAATATCATGATGGCTCCAAAACTATGTCTTAGAGCAATGTTGGAAACATGGGGACTTCCTTTTAATCTTCTCCTCCATAACCTCGTACCTCTAAAAAATGTTCACATCTGCTCCTGGCCCTCCTACCTGCCCTATGATCTCTTGTCTCAATTACTCTAGAATTCTCTAAACTGGTCTCCCTGTGGCTTTGTGGTTCTCAAATCCACCCTCCATGCTGTTGTCTGAAGAGTCTATCTAAAATGCAAATTGAGGCAGACCTGCCCTTGCTTAAGAGCCTTCAGTGGCTCTCTGCTGACAGGATGAGTCCCAGCTCCTGCAGCAGACCAAACAACATCATGGTTGAATGCTGTTCATTTCCCCGGTCCCCCCTCTGGCCACTTCCTCCCTCACACCTCATTCTGTTCTGCTCCCAGATCTTTGCCTGCCTTGGCCTTTACACCTAGAATGTTCTTAAAAGCCTCCACTCACATGTCATCCTGCCTTTTCCAACTCCCACCCACCCTGTCTCCACAAGGAAGTAATACAGCCCATGTTTCTCTAAATACTCCAGAAGATTTTCACTGTTGTACCTGGTACATTTCCTTTATAATTATTTTAAGTTTACTTCCCTCTCCACTAAACAGTATGTTCTCTTGTATTCTATTGACAGATAGAAAATATTGGATAAATGACTAATTAATAAATATAGCCTAGGGCTTTTCTGAAAACAAATAAGATATAACCTATTCTAGATCAAATATCATGCTTTATATTAGGTGGTGATTAGAAAGAAGCACTTCATTCCTTTGTCAAAATTAGACAAAAAGGACCATTGAAATAATCTTACTTCATGGAAAGCAGACTGTGCGGGTTTTACTCGAGTTAGGTGACTCATTCTTTTGAAACCTACTTTTATTTTCCCACTCCATCTGCATACAGTTGTTTTTATGAAACTAAGTAGTTTCAAAGCGTTTTAAGATATATATGTTATTTTCCCTTATAAATCCCTGAAGACAGCTAAGAAGAAATTATAATCATTTCACATATGAAGAAAATAGGGCTGAAGGATTATTGTTTTTCCACACCAGTAGTAATGTGAGGCAAAGTAACTCCTGATGATAAACCAACAACCTCCTCTACCCATTACCTTGCCTATAACAGTTCTCTCTGTGTATCCTTGGGTCTCTCTGTTTCTCTCTCTTTCTGTTTTCTCTCCTTCATTCCACTCTTTATGTGATAATGTAATACAAATTGGTATGTGTTAGCTATACTCTAGACTTTTAACAAATTCAAGCAGATTAGAGTCGTCTATATGCCTCAGCCATGTATGCATAAGTATACTCTGTCATTTGCACAGATACCCAGTCTGTACCAAACGAATTTGCTTGTAAGCCAGCAACACTTCAGCTGAAGTGGGTCATAGCCACCCGACCTACCGCAGCAATTTCAAGCTTAAGAATATTTTAAATTGTGTCTAATTCAGCCACTAACTCGGTGCTTGAACGCACCTTCAAGGTGGTCCAAGCAGAAGATTCTGCAGTAATTACTTGACTGTCTTAATTCACTAATCTCACAATCGCTAAAGACAGTGCTGGCCAACTGCAGAACCTTGGGGAGACATTTATTTATAAATCCATCCATTGCCACTTATTGGCGAAGTTTTTTTTTCCCTAACTGTTAGAGCTACAAGCTGACCTGAGTCTAAAATGCATCTATATTGCTATCAGTAGAGGATTTGGAAAAGAACTTAGCCCAGTTTGCTCTTATATAAATGGATTAAATTAAATAATGCATGCAAATACTTACTATAGTATCTTCAACACCTACTCAGAGTAAGTACTCAGCACCATGTTAACTAAACCAATAACTCTTCTTAATTTTGGGTATAGTTTTCTTTTGAGGGTGTGTGTGTGTGTGTGTGTGTGTGTGTGTGTGTGTGTGTGTAGGTGAACATGCATGTGTGGATGGAAGCCAGAGACCGCCATGAAATATCTTTCTCCATCACTCTCTACACTGTTTTTTAAAGCAGGGTCTCACTGACCCTGGAGCTTGCTGACTCAGCTAGATCAGAAAGTCCAAAGGATCTTCCTGTCTCTGCTTCCTCATTGCTGAATTCACAGGCACATACTTCCATACCTGGCTTTTTATGGAGTCCCCCAAACACAGCAAACACTTTACCAACTGAGCCTCTCCCCAGCCTCCATTGACATAGATTTTAGCAGCAATTCCTTAAATCCAATCATCAGATTTTCAAAGATAAAACACATGTAATGAGGTAAACAGAACCCAGATGACTTTCTTGTTAGGAACATAATTGTCAAACAATCCACTTTGAATTTCTGTCCCCATCCTAACAGAACAGGGTGGGAATGCAGTCTCATAGTAACCTGGGCCATGCAAATTTAACTTCTTCCTGTGTAGTAAGAGGCATTATTCCAAGTTCATTCAACCCTTGGTCTTGTGACCAAAGCATAAATTGTAAATCTTATTGTAACGAATCTTGACAAAAGGGAGGGAAAATAAGAGGTCACTTTGAAGAGCCACTGTGTAGGAGATAGGGGCGTGTCTCTTACATCTAATGGAGGGTGGGCAAATTTTCATCAAGTAGCAGGAAATAGGACTCATTTGAATCCATCTCAAATTCGAGAGTTTTCTCATTCGAACGAGGAAGCAACAGCATGAGCTTCAGCCTTTGGCAGGTGACCTGTTGGCCCCATCTGTACCTGATGGTGACTTTTCCATTTGCTTCAGTCTCAGGGGATTACAGCAAACGCGTGTACCAGGGCGTGAGAGTGAAGCACACCGTCAAAGACCTCCTGGCAGAAAAGCGATCCAGACAGACAAGTAACTCCAGACTCAACGTAAGTGCTGATTCAGTTCCACCTGAAGTCCTGCAGGTCTGAAGCCTCTGTTAAAGTTCCCTTTCTCCTCTCCTCCTTTGCCTAACATCACCCACTCTTCTGCCTCCTGGCTCTGACTGTCCTCAAGAGAGAGGACGTGCTTTACCGAGGACATGCTTCAGAAATACTTTGACATTTTTCTTCCTCCCTGCAAAGGCAATCTTTCCTCTTTGAGGACACCCATGTCATAGTATCTGGGGACTTGATTAGTGACATCAAGGTCTGTGCTTGAACTTTTATTGCTACACTCTCCCCCATTGTCCTCCTCGCCCCGTTTTACAAATGGTTTTTGTTTTACTTCTGGAATTTTCTGTGTATTGCTATTCATCTGCTATTGCTCATATGACCCTGGAAATAGAATGTGCTACTCCTTCGTGTTATGTAAATAACAGTTTATAAATGCCAGACCTCCTCCTTCTTAAGGTACCTGGTGTAATAGGTAGAGAGAGAACCTTTGTCTGCCAGGGACCATCTGTGTATGTGAGCCTGGAAAAGTCTCTGAATGCAACAAAAAATGAAGCAACCAAAATGATCATTAGGGATTCTCATAATGTAAAAGTATCTGACTGTTCATCACCCCCAAGGCATGTGAGATTGCCAGCAAAGTCTCCAGAGCTGTGTTATCTAATTATCTGACTACTTTAGCTAGGGACAGTAAAAACAGGTATGCCTGGACTTTTCCACATCTCCCTGTCACTGCTTGAGAAAGGCTTAGGGCTTGAGGATACAACGCTGACCTTTTATATACATTGTATTCTATAGCCAACAGATGTGATTTGTAATAAGTTCTCTCTGAAATTCTCAGTAGGTGTTTTTCTGTATGCTTTCTGTTTGTTTGTTTTTGGATTTTCGAGACAGGTTTCTCTGTAGTTTTTGGAGCCTGTCCTGGAACTAGCTCTTGTGAACCAGGCTGGCCTCGAACTCCCAGAGAGCCACCTGCCTCTGCCTCCCAAGTGCTAGAATTAAAGGCGTGTGCCACTACTGCCTGGCCTCCCAGAACTCCCTGAAGGTGTTCTGTGCTTCATTCGTATCTGTCAATCACACCCCTACTTACAGCTCTGCTCTGTGCCTAATAAGCTGTGCTCAGGTCTCCAAAGGGGACCAGAGAATGGCAACAGTATTAGGCTAACATGAGAAGTTAATTCCATGCATTCTACTAGTATAATAGCCTGAATGCTAGGCATGTGTCGATAACCAGGAGTAAATGGAGCAGTCACATCTAGCATCTAGCACGGGGCACACAGGGGAAGTACTTCCTCCAGAACCCCTGAGGGCATTGTGGGTACCACCCTCCATACTGTTCCAATAGCAACTCCTATGACATAAGTGATCAGCTTCAGAATCAACTTCTGTATCAAGAACACCTTTTAAGGCACATCCCTGCTACCCTCCCCTTCAAACAGCCTCTTCCCTTTGAGTTCAACACTCAGAACAGCTTTTAAGAGAAATCTGAACAGCTGGGCTCCTTGTCTGATCCCCATTCAGTATTTCTCAGGGTGCTTGCTCAGAAGCATCTGGAGGGTGTGTTAAAAATATCCTTACCAGACTGAGAGGGAAATCAGAGAGAGTGGGGTGGGGGTGTTTCTGAATCTGCTCAAAATGAACCATTTCTGTACACAGATGAGGGAATTGCTCCGCCACAGCTTCAAACAAGAGAACACTGAATCTTGAAACCTAATAAAAAAAGTCCCAGGAAAACATCAAATTAAGTAGAGAAGAAGTACACATAATGACAGTACAGGCAGGGAATAAGCTGTGTATCTGTACAGTATGCATTAGGATAGATTTCACACCTTTTGGTATCATCAATATCTACATACAGCTAAGAAGGCAGAGTTACAGTCTTCTATATATAAAAAAAAAGTTGTGCCATATAAGAAGACAACGAAGCAGGCTATATCCAAATGGTGAATTCGTGTAGATTTTTAAGAACAAAGGACTTTGTGACCAAGGCCTATAAATATCAAGTCATAGATTTTTGTCTTCTTCTTTCCCTCTAGTTTTTAAGTTTCTCCTTCTTAAAATAAAAATAGAATAAGCACAAGTATTGAGTCCCATTAATTAAATATCAATATTTTATTAAATCTTTGAGACTTTCATACAATATAATTTGATCATATTCACCCCCAATTCCTTCGCTTAACTCTTCCCAGATCTACCACCCACCTCCCAACTTCACTTCCTTTTCTTCCTTTAACCCGCTGAGTCCAGTCTGTGCTTCCCATATCCTCACAGCTGTGGAGCCATCCGTAAGAGCATGGTCAACCTCTCAGGGCCATGTTCATCAAGGAAACTGATATCAGCTGACCATAGCTCCTCTCTTTATGAACCCTTGGACCCCTGTCCCTTCCATGATGGAATACTAACTGGCTACATCTTGTCCCAGTCTGTGCAGGCAAACATAGCTGCTTTGCAGCACAAGCACAGTGCCCTGCCCAGTGACTGCTGCTTTGCTCTGATCCTCATTTCCCCGTGGCTCCTACAGTCTTTCCAACCCCTTCTTCTGCAATGGTCCCTGGGCTTTTGAAAGAGCGGAGTGATGTAGATGTCGTGTGTGTGTGTGTGTGTGTGTGTGTGTGAGAGAGAGAGAGAGAGAGAGAGAGAGAGAGAGAGAGAGAACACTCCCTCCATACACACTTATTCTCTGCCCTCAGACCAGTTGTGAATTTCTCTGCCAACCTCTGTCCACTGCACCAAGAAGCACCTCTGATGAGGTCTGAGAGCTGCACATTGAAAACATATCATTCAGTTTCATAAGGTACAGATGCTTGGGCTTGTCCCATTTGTGGGTATGGGGCCAGAGAATGATCGTCTAGACTTTCTACAGTCTCCTTGAGAAGTTCTTTTGCAAATGGCTATTTACAATAAAGAACAAGTGCCCTAGCCTCACGTAGTACAGTGACTTCTTATCCCTTATCTAGCTAGCCCATTGCTGTTGGCCTCAAATGAGAAACTGGGAAACAGCTGTATGGAGCATGTAGACAGCCTGCTGAATGCCAAATAAACCTGTAAGAAGACAAATACCTACACATAAAAAGTGTACATTCATATAGCCAAACACTAAGCTGAATGCTTATGACCACCCAAGCAATATGAAAGTAGATATATTTATGGGAGGATAGATTAAAGTATATTTTCTGTGTATTATCTCATTCCGTGGGCACATTATCTCCTCTGAGATTTGCATTTACAGTTTCTCATTTTACAGATGAATATGTTGAAAACAAGATAAAGGAAGGGACTGGTGCACTGGAGAGATGGCTCAGAGGACCTGGGTTAGGTTCCCAGCATCTGAGTCAAGGGGCTCCCAACTGCCTGTATCTCCAGCTCCAAGGGACCCTTCACCCTCCTTTGGTCTACATGGACACCCTCACGCAGACACGAACAGCCTCACACAGACACAGACATGGACATCCTCACACACATACAGACATGGACATCCTCACACACACGCGGACACCCTCACACAAAGAGACATGGGCACCCTCACACAACCATAGACACTCTCACACACACAGAGACACGGACACCCTCACACAGACACAGACACCCTCACGTGGACAAGAACACATGCTCTTTATTTTTTAAAAAGTGCACAGTTTGTGAATAGTAGATTTGTTGAGTCTTAATTCCGTATTTAAAAAGACAGCTCAGACTGGACTAAAGTAGAACAATCTTTGACACATGAAAAGAAGGACAGAGAGAAGAGAGAGAGAGAGAATATGAGAGAGAGAGAATATGAGAGAGAATAAATGTCAGGTTAAAAAAAAAAACTAGTAACAGAAAAGTGAGTCACCTGCAGCCATGGTCTGGCAAGGCCATTCTAGGTATACAAATGGACCTTAACTCTCTGTCCTCACTGTATCACCTCAGTACTAGCATCGTCTTTCCCACTTTGGTGATGTTTAAGCTTCCGTGATTAAATATGTAACTCATATGTGAGCTCGTTTGAACTTTAAGCATCTCTGAATTGACTTTCCTGTCTGCTTACTATTTAAGAATACTGAGAAATCTGTCTAGAAAGGTGTTCCCATCAGTCACCGCCCACTCTGAAGACCTATTTCTATCCCTGCTGTGAATGTGACTCAAGGAGCAAAGTTGTGGAGCACCCTCCAGTCAGCAGACCCTCACTCTCGGGGCTCTGATTTCACGAGTTGTGCTGAGACCACCTCCTTTTCTCCACACTGATACATAAGGACACAGTGAGTCTTCAGCCTCAGATGGGTTTATAACAAGGACACTACTCATGAGGCATGCTTAAAATCTTCAGCTGGCAGAATGGCTAACAGTCAATGATGAATGGCCCCAACCCAAAACTGAATTCCCAAAGATCCTAAGTCGATCTTCTGGGACCAGTGGGCAGATACAAGATTAGGTATCTTGAGAGTTTACCTGGGCGGGCACTCAATGCAATCAGATGTGTCTTTCTATGGGAGGTTTGGGATGGAGATACAGAGAAGATACAAGAGGAAAAGGTCAAGCGACCCCTTCAGCAGAACCTTTGAGGCAGCAAATCAAGGAATCCCGGCACCTGCAAAAGCAGGCTGAAGATAGGTCCCTCAGTGAGCACCGTAGCCAGGACAACCTTGCCAAGAGCCGGGTTTGGGATCCCTGGCCTTCAGAACCACCAGAGCGCATCCAGATGCTCACTGTGGTAGGTTACAGTTGCCTTAGGAAACTCGTGCATGGATTATGAAAAGTTAGGTCCCTCCCATTCAACCTTCTTCCAGATGGTTAGATGCCCTTGCCACCACCTGGGTCCTTGGACTATACCCTCTGAGTAAGGTGGCACAGCTGTGGTTTTCTATCTTTACCAAAAGTTTTCTCAAGGACAACTTTCATGATTTTGCAGTAAATTTTTGGAAAATATCATAAAAACAAATATCTTGCATCAAGCAAGGTTTTCACAAAATCTCCTCTGTCTGTTTTACCTGCTATACTGTGGCTGTGTAACTGCTGTG